ACACTCTACCATCAAACCAAAACAGAAGTCATGGCCTCACTGTTGAAGGCAGGCAGGTAGGAACGCGGTTACATGTGATGCGTGGACGTCTGTCGCCACCGATTCATTTGTTACTGTAACTGCGCATTTTATCTTGTGATTTAAGATACCTGTTGTTACCTTTGGTTCCATACAACAAAGTTGTAACTTTACAGTTTGCAAGCATTTCCATTTATATGTTTAATAAAATATAATGGAAATGAATTCAACTCTTTCTTATTACAAATGCACTGTTTTTAAAAACTGCAAGTGTTGAATGCTTATTCAGTGAGACAAAAAAAATGTGTGTTGTGAAAAAGTGCATCAATATACATAAATTAAAGATGCATCAATAATCGTTTTATAATCGAATCGTAGCCCCTGAATCGTAATCGTAATCGAATCGTAAGGTGCCCAAAGATTCCCACCCCTAGCGATATCTATTCGTCTTTGTGTTAAGTAACCACAATGAAATATGGCCAAGTGAAGCAAAGTTTCACTTTAGTTTGTGAAACTGAAATTGAAATGTATTCCAGCCTGTAAGTAATGCTACAAACAAAGAGGGCAAAACAACTGATTGATTCATTTTGACAAAACAGCACAGAAGAAAACAATAATACAACATAAAATATTTACTATCAGCCTGAAAGGTGTAAGCTAAAAACTTAAGCATATTACACCTTCCCCTCTAGCAATACACGACCTGTTTGGTGTAAACACAAACAACACACAAACACAGGCTACTATATTCCTATCATGCTAATTTCAAAATGTTACTTTGATCATGTAAATTAAACTACTTTTTTTTTTAAAGTGTGCTTTAAGTTTTCAGTTCCTCGCTTTCCATCAATTCACCCCTTTAACTGAAATACAATGACTTCATATGTTAGTACTTACAAGTGTTTCCTGCAGTGTTTTATACCGGCCTGAATTAATAACCACCTCAACTAAGACATAATGAAACATTACTACTCCTTTATGAAATAAAACAATAAAGCAGCACAATAATTTATATATACTGGGAGACAAAATGTGTCTGGACCTGAAAGGGGGGAGAACCCAGCTTACCTTTTATGTTCTTTACACATCACACACTCCCCTTTAGTCATATTGGCAATTACTAATTTTATTTCTGACTGTAAACATTCCTTGTACTATTTTAATATCAGCTAAATCGAGTTAGAGGCTTTAATTTAATAAGCAGGGGGTTAGTTGTTTCCCCCCCCCCCCCCCAATTCTTGTGGTTCTCTTTTGAAGTACAAAATAGATTATATTTCTTTCATGTGCATTTCCCCATGACGTTACTACCACACAATAAGTTGCATATGAGTTTTAGTGTAACTATGAGTCGACAGTTAATGTAGTCTAACATCAGTTTCGTTTTTCTGCTCACCCCCTCTCTATCTCTCTCTCGTGGGTTTTCTAGCTCTTTCCATCGCTTATATTTTTCATAAAGGCAGCGACTCTTACTTGTATGTTGGGTGAGGGGATAAATAAAAGCAAACGACGCCTGAACAGAACAAACAGACATGGCTTCTGATATAAAATACGTACTCGCAAAACACTGCATCTTGTGATACGGTTGGCCTTACTGGTTACAAAACTGGTATCGTTAACGTACCAAACTGTTTCTTGATATTCCGTCGTTAGCATTAATAAAATATCCACATTTAATTGACTATGTAACAGCAAAAGTTAACCAATTCAAACCCAACACTAGTTAAATGTTCTTAAATTAACTTCAGTCCTCACTGAATTTAGCTAAATTTGACTGCTGTTAGCAATCTTTAACGTTAACTTAGCTAACGTTAGCTACAACACTCGGCAACATTTAAAGATAACCGTTACATGAAACGCATATCTACATAACAAGGCATTAATGGCGTCTTAGATTAACATGCCAGTTACAAACATGTGTTACATGATTGACAGTATTCAGCCTCAATGTAAAGAAATATTGCTGTGTTTTCTCAATACCCACCATCCTGGGTCGCCATGATGATTGTGTACAATCTGTTGTAGGTTGAGGCAAAGAGAGTACAGACAGCAGGATGATATCGGATATTCACTAAGAAGAAGTAGACCTCAGCGAAAGTCGTGTTCAAACGCACATTTACGCGTGACAACAAACTTAACAGAAGAAAAGCAATACTTTTTCAAAATGGCGCAGAAAATACAGTTTTACTCACCGTTACAACGTTTAAACGTTTCTAGTTTCAGTTAACCGGTGGACAGGAAGACGCAATGGATATACGCATGCGCACTCAAAAATAACTGCAAATACATTTTTTTGTACAAAAGCAGTTGTAGTTATCATTAAGCAAATACTGTGTCGCAATAATGTAGTCAAATAAATTCATACAGCCGAAAAACAAATATTTTAATCATAATAACTGAAAACACGAACTAATGTCGTGTAGCTACATCCGGGAATTTTCGGCAAACACGGAAGTGAGTGGTATAGAACCTTCTCGCTGTGCTAAGGTTCTCTGTTGTTGTGGCAGCAAGAGCAGACACCGAGAGGTGGCACTTTACTCAGTGGCTATTGGATGAGTTTTTCTTCTTTTTCCTTATTGTATGATGGTTGGGATTTTAAACTATGCATTATCGCCAACTATTGGATTCTGTGAAACATTTCCAACTATGGTAAATTAAAACTGAAACCCCCCTCCTTCTCAAGCCTTGACAGAAACTCCCATCCAGACAGAAAGTCTTTGATGGACATGGTGGAAATTCCCTAAAATAACTTTTAAAAAGACAATCTTACAGTAGCCTACCACATATCACCCCCATACTCTATATCTCTGTGTTGATTTCACTGAAGGATTAGTTTTTATTGACATTACAATAATTTGATTCATGTATGCATGATAATTGGATATCAAACTGGCTAACTATTTTTTGTATAAAGGCTACTTAATTGTAGGCTATAAATCTAAAAATTGTGCCACAAAATGTTGACAAATAGACCAAAAAGAATGATCTAATATGCAGGTTGAACAATTTCAGATTAGTTATGGGTTCATATGACCTAAACCTCTCATCTTTTATAACGTTTGAGAACAAAGAATGATTTTTTTTTAACTGTCTTTTGCCTGCTGCTTTAAAATACAACACATTTGACTGTTGATATTGCATGCATTTCCTACTTGAACTTTCATGATAATTGCATTTTATTCACCATTGTTTTATGGTTTTCTTCATTAAGTGAGAATTTCAGGCTAGTGATTATAATAACAGATTTGAGCTTTGTCATGAAATTCCCTCTAATTATCAGTCAGTTAATGGGAATCAGTGGGAACAGTGCAAGTAGCCTAAATTAAGTTTCTTAACATTGTACCTGGTGCAATAAAAACAGTCATTAGCGATGGAAGAAGTACTCAGATCTTTTACTTGAGTAAAATTAGCAACACCACAGTGTAGAAATAGTCTTAAGTAAGAGTACAAAGCATCAATATATTTTTAAGGTAGCAAAAGTACTCTTTATTCAGGATGGCTCATTCCAGAGTAATGTATATTATATTACTGAATATAATAGCAACATTAGGCAACATCATTATGTTGCAACGAGGCTAGGCTATATAGGTTATACTGTAGAATAGTTTGTGAATTTCACCAAGGGATTAATGCTCTTATCCTATATATTCATGTTTAATAAACCATCATAATATATTGTTGGTTATTTGTATTGTATTATTAATCAGAATCTGCCAGCAGCAACTAAATATATCAAATAAGTGGGACAGAAGAAAAAGTAGGGAAAAGTACAATTTTCCGTTGAATCATAGAGGAAAAGTAGAAAGAAGCAAAAGAAAGTAGCAATAGTAGTTATAGGTATGCTACCCCAAAATTATATTTACGCGCAGTACTCAAGTAGATATACTTAGTTACGTTCCACCACTGACAGTAACACACAGTGATACTCAGCTTACAGCCTACAAGCCTGATGGGCCTACCCATCAACCACTTTCTAATTCGCAACGAAAATAAATTAATTTACACTGGCCATTATTTTTCTACTTTAATGTAAATAAGATGCCAGAGTGAGAAAAAAATATATATCAAAATAGAGTTTATTAAAAAAAAAAAAAAAAAAAAAAAAAAAGCCAGGGTAGAGTCTGGCCTAAGCCCAAAATGTCCTCAAATCCCAGAAACGCCCGTGCATATACCTGACCTGTGTCGGGCTGCTGCGACTGGATTTGCCTCGTTTATTCATTTTATCTTGCAGCAACTAAATATATCAAATAAGAGCGATAGTCGTAGGCCTAGTGGATTAAAAAGTACAATTTCCCCCTGAAATGTAGAGTAGAAGTGGAAATTAGCAGAAGAAAATAGCAGCACTATTTATTTTTCGAAAATACTTGAGTAAAGTACAAGTAGCCTATACCTCAAACTTGTATTCAAGTACAGTGCTTGAGTAAATTTACTCAGTTAGTTTCCACCACTGACAGTAACACTAATACAGTGATACTCAACTTAAAGTCCATGGGGCGCCAAGTGGCCCATCAACTGTTTTCTAGCTCCCAGTGGAAATAAATGGATTTAAACTGGCCATTATTTTTCCACTTTGAGTGTAAATAAGGTGCCAGAGTACAATTGAATTAATTAATTAATTAATAAAATAAAATAATAAAAATAAAAATAAAATAAAATAAAAATGCCTGGACCCCCAACAGAGGTTTAGGCTGAGCCACTGCATACACCTGACCTGTGCTGGGCTGCTGCGACTGAGTTTGCCTCATTTATTCATTTTATCTCATAAATTTTATTAATGTTTGTTAACTGGCTCATGGGTCCCGGTCAGTTTGCAGAAGTGGCCCCTGGCCAAACAAAAAAGTTGAGTATCCCTGCACCAAAGCTCCACAGTCTTCACAGTCATCACAGACTACTTTGCTTTCCATGGGAGCATGTTCCTCCCGGTTACCTCTGGAAGGCAGCAGAAGCTAAATGAGACTAAACGGCCGCAAATGAGGCTGCACAAGAAGAAGAGGAAGAAGCTGGAGCGGCTGAGGGAAAACCATGACGGAGGAGCCGAAGAACAAGGAAGACCGCAAATACTGGCTTGTAATTAAAGTCACAAGTTGTCATGCGTACTTAGCATGATAGAAGGGAAGTGCCCAGATAACAGTGTTGCCCTATTGCTGCCTGTGTCCCAACACTCTCCGCTGCTCCTCTGCCCTCTCACTCCTGTTGTTTGCGCATTAAAGTGTAACTAAACAGTTACGCGGTCAGCTTTGGTGGCGCGACTTTGTTCAAATGGATTTATGCGAGTCGATAATGAATCCGTATGGAAATCTTTCTTAGAATTAGAGTTCACATGAGTCGACAGGAGGACATCACCAGCGGCTCTAAGTTTATAATGTATTTGTAGGGCGAGTAAGAAGTAAAAAAACCAGCATGGCAGACAGGAGGACTTTCAACGTTGTGATTTTGGGAGTGGGGTTTTTGTTTATTTTCACTGCATTCACCACCTTAGGGAATGTTGAAGTAAGTAAAACTTTATTACTGGGCTTATACACATCCAAACCTTTTCTTATAACCTACTGTAGTTGCATTTGTTTCCTCTGTTGCATGTTAAAGTGCATTTTCTGACAGTCTGCAGACACTGCTGAGATTTTGTGAATGGATGGAGCAGATTTCCTGTCCCCAACTCTGTAAAACTTACTCAAAACTCCAACATAATCTGCTCTTAAGACTGTTTGTACATTTCTATGTTTGTATATTTGTTCAATTTACTAACTACCCTCTTGAATGATGGGAGTTTGTTTTAAGAGGACCCAAAAGAATCCATCTGCAGATGTCTAATAGGCAGTAGGAATCAAGCCAGTCAGAGCTGTATCTCGTGTTTCTAATTTTCCTCAATGGTCAGTGAAATTATCAAACCGGATGAATGACTTGAGGACATAATTAGGACCCACTTTGTCCAGTCTAACCGTCTGCTTTCATCTTCCTCTCAGCAAACTGTGGTGAAAAGCCTGCGCAATGAAACTTTCACTGGGAGTGGGTACCACAGGTAGGTGCACGTTCACGCACATCCTCGGCTCAGGTTGAAGAAAAACACACTATTTTTAATAAACAAGTACATTATGAAGTGGAATAATAATCCTCTTTGTCTCCTTTACAGTCTTGGAATCATTTATGGGGTGTTTTCGTTCTCCAATTTACTTGCACCGACAGTCGTTGCAGTAATTGGACCAAAGATTACTATGTTTTTGAGTGGCATACTCTACAGGTAAACACTGCCATTGTAATTACATAAAGGGCTGTTTAAAAAGATGCTGAAACTTGTTGGTCATTGCTGTTCTGCATGATTTTTTGTCTAGTGGGTACATTGCAGTGTTCATCAACCCTTCAACATGGTCCTTTTACTTCACCTCTGTGCTGATCGGCATAGGAGCAGCAAGTAAGTTCCTCCACTAGATATGAAGATATTTTTATATTTGGTTACAACTAGGGGTTGCACCTAAAGATTATTTTCATTGTGGATTAGATTCCTGATTAATTAATTATTTGTTCGGTCTGTAAAATGTGAGAAAATAGTGAAAAATGTCTGATCAGTGTTTCCCAAAGCTCAAGATGACGTCCTCAAATGTCTTGTTTCTCCACAACCTAAAGACAGTCAGTTTACTGTCATAGAGGAGTAAAGAAAAGAAAATATTCACATTTAAGAAGCTGGAATCAGAGAATTTGAAAAAAAAAAAGGCTCAAACCTACTAATCAATCATCAAGTTTGCTGACAATTTAATAGTTGACAATCAGTTAAATCAAGTCTAACTCTATTGTCATTTCTACATGCAGAGTGCATGGAAAAGAAATTGCGCTTTCTCACAACCCCAAGGTGCCATCAGACATGTACAAGTATAAAAATATAAAGATAAAAAAAATCTATACACATCACACATATATACATATGCATACACATACATGATAAATAAAAGCACACATGCAGAATGTAGAATATAAGAGATGTATAATATAAGAGAGGACAGTTCCAGCAGAGCCCTGGGCTAAGAGGCATTTGGTATTTAAAGTGCATAGTGGAGTGAATGACCCATTAAATAAATATAAATATGAATATAAATATATAACATGGGAATACTGGTCACTAATGAATGATTTAAAAAAATAGGTGCAAACATGTCAATTACTTGATGTTGAGTTCTAATTACAATGATGTTAAAGTTACTACTTTATTTTTTTTAAATGCATGTGTGCAACAGCATGTGGATTACATAGCTAACACAGTAATTAGTAAACTTTAAGGAAAAAAATAAAGCAAATTACAGTCATCTGAGATAACCCTCCTTTGTACATTTAAATTAAGATATCTTATTTAAGTTAATATAAGTCACATTTACTCTAATTTAACGGGATATCTGGGTTTTTGTTTTGCTTATTTTTGCTTACAGTAGGGTTAGCGATTATTTTCATCAGTTAATCTGACAATTATTTTCTTGACTAATAATTTAGTTTATTAAATGTCAGAAAATGGTGAAAAATGGCAGTCATGATTTTCCCAGAGCTGAAAGGTGACATCTTCAAATGTTTTGTTTTATCTCCAAATCCCAAAGACAACCAGACATGACAAAGAAAAGCATCAAAAACTCACATCTGAGAGGGTGAAACGGCAGCATTACAGAAACAATTAAAGTATTATTCAATTTATCATCTCAGCTCTATCTTAGGCTGTAATTCTCTAGAATAGGCATGTTTACTTTTTTTTTTTTTTTTTTGGTTTGGCACATACTAGGTACTACAAAAAAATACACGTAAATAGTTGAACTTGGTTCCTGCAGCCTATTCAAGCTCAGTTTCTGTGTTAAAATAGTGTTTAATCATGCATACAGGGATTATCATGACTGGGATGTGTTGATGCGTATAAACAGTAGATCCCAAATTAGACCTTAAATGGGTTAGGAGCTGTTTCTGTAAATAGTGCGCAGCACTTTGAGCTTGTTCACAGATGTTAGAGAAAACACTGAGAGAGCAGCCCTCTGCCGAGCAGCTACTGAAAAAAATGAAGAAAAATGATTTGGGGCTGTTTTTAATGTGGTCTCAAATCATTGCAGTGTGATGAATTTTCATCATGTCCCGGGGCTACTGTGTGGTTACATGCATTACTTACCAACACAGAAAGATAATTTTTCACTTTGTGTGGGCAAGTAATTGACTGGTTAATTTTTTTTCCCCTCAAATGACCGCTCTTACTCATTTTTCCTACAGTGCTCTGGACCGCGCAAGGACACTTTCTGGTGGAGAACTCAGAGGCTTCCACCATCAACAGGAACACAGGGGTGTTCTGGGGTCTCCTGCAGTGCAGGTATGCAGCTACTGAGATATTACACAGATATTACACAGTCTGTCAGTGGTAAACAGATGCAAGCGTAAATACAGTTACCTCTGTGCAGTACTTCATTTAAAGGTTCAGTGTGTAGGATTTAGGGGGATATATTGACAGACAATAAATATGTCTTCTTTAGCGTATAATCACCTGAAAATGAGACTCACTGTGTTTTTGAATGAGCTGTCCATATCCACACAGGGAGTGTGTCCTTGTCCGCGGAGGCCACCATGTTTCTACAGTTGCACAAAACCGACAAACCAAACACTGGCTCTGGATAGGGCCAATCACATTTTCATGTTATTGCATCAGCTGCCATAGTTAGATGCCCCTCCGTGATAAGTGTTTTTTTTAACATGAAACTGTATAATTCAGTGTTCTTAAAGGTTTTAATCTACTAGGGCCATATTCACGAACACTGAGACATTGAGAATACTCTCAGAGAGCTCCTAACTTAGCCTAAAAAATTCAGTAAGGAGTTCAAGCTTAGGAGTGATTTAGGAAAGTTCAGTTCAGAGCAGCTCTGAGCAAGGAAAGACAGAAACTTTTACCTTAGTGAGGACGTGTGGTTAACCACGTTGCTAGGTATGATGCATTCTTTTAACAGATGTGATTGGTTGTCAGAGACACACGCCTTTTTGAAAGATGAACTGCTGACTGTGAAAGTGTTGTGATCATTTTATTTCTGGCATTCTAGCCCTAGATGAGAGTGTGTGCATATCCCTAATCACATCAACCACACATATTATTCCCGCACGATCTAATCTGTAGCATTTCATTTACTCACTGTCAGTCAGCATTTGAAGAATATTTCTCTGACCTCTTTGTGTTTCCACCATTTTCTCTTCTGCTTAAGAAACTCTTAGAAGTCCTCCTCCCTGCTCCTAACAGTTTTTCACCGTAGGAGCTCTTTAAGGTCTAAGATGCTCCGTGAATAACTTTTTATCTTTAAAGGCCCTAGTCTTAACTTTAAGGGGAAATTCTAAGAAAATGTCAAATTTCTAAGAACTTTCTTAGAATTTCATCACTAGGAGCAACCTTTAGTATGAGGAAGATTTGTGAATACGGCCCCTGCTCTTTTTCTTTTGAGGAGGAAGAGACCTCTGTGGATAATTCAGCTCCCTGTAAAAATCTCCTGAACATCTGAATTTTAACTAATCAGAGAAAAAAGATAAGCACACATTAGCAGGAGCTGGGCTAGCCAAGCAGCTATGGAGAAACATTAATTTGTAACGTGAAACTGCTTTATTCAGTGTTCAGTTCAGTTCATTTTATCAGTTTAAATCACATATATTTTAGAAAGGAGGAGACCTCCATGGATAATTTGGCTCCCAGTAAAAACCTCCCAAACAATGAATACTGAAGGAATCCTAACCAGAGGTTAATGCTTGATACATGGGAGAAGTTCCAGTTGGCTGCAATCTGCAGTCTTCACCACTAGATGCCACTAAATCTTACACAGTGCTCCTTTAAACCATCTCTGACTGACAGCACTTACAACTTCCGACCAATCATTTGCAAAGCCCCGCCCCTTTGAGTTGTTGTTGTGTCTGTCAACCTTTCTGTTCTTACACAGCACATATATGACCTCTGCAGATAATTTGGCTCATAAAAACCTCTTGAACAATAGATACTGAAGGAATTCTAACCAGGAGAAGTTTCAGCTGGTTGCAATTTCCAATCCTCACCACTAGATGCCACTAACTCCCCCTAAATCACACACACTGCTCCCTTTAACCGCATTGTATTTTAATACTTGGATTAAACAGCATGATTCTCTGAAAATGATTTAACTATGGCCTTTAGTGAATTAAATATTCATTTTTTTTTGAGAATCTAAAAATCCTCCTGCTAATTTGCTTCCTAAACCAACCCAAGGTTGCTATTACAGTGGCCTGCATTGTATTATTTCTTCCCCAAATTACATTCAGCGCATAAAACACATCACCATGTCTTTTTGTTTGATGCAACTCTTCCAGTTGATCAAAGATATAGTTACACTGCAGCAGCAAAAATACTGTCAGGTCTGTATTTTTAGCCTGACAGGATATTACTGTATGCTTTATTTTAGAATATATTTAATAAATCATGTTACAATTTGTCATATCTGTCAGAGTCATTTGTTGTTGTTTTTTTTCTCTGCAAAATATAAAAACAGTCCATTAAAACAGATTTCTGCAGGTGAGAGTTTTGGCCTTTTCATCTCTTGTATTCGGCCCACTGCTCCTGCACGCTGGCTTGGACAACTAATTTGTATTTGTTAAAATATGCAAATTGAATTAGTATAATAATTACATTGGCTGTCACCTGCTCCAAAGCTCACAATAGGGCAATGCTAATCTGACTCTGCAGTGGTGATCCCTGCCACAGTAAACTTATGAATCAGTTCTTCACAGCCTGCAGACACACACATACACACACACACACACACACAGAATGCGGTAGCTGTTATCTTTTATGAATAACCCCTGTTATTCCTTGCTGAGGCTTTGGGGCGGACTAATTGCTCATCTACATTTTTCAGTTTAGGTGATATGTAATTAAAGACAGAAATAGATCACAGCATTTTATAGAACTGCCCTGTTTGAAAGGCAAATAAACAGCTTAAAATAAAAATGAAAGAAGCATCCTCAAAGGCAGAAATGCAGATTATTGTTTTTAGAAAGTCAGCGTTTGATCCAACCCCCCCAAAAAAAGTCCAGTCCTCCTTGTTCGCTTCTTCTGTCTTTCATGATTTATCAGATGACATTTCAGATAGCACTGTATAGTCAATGGGCTTTTTTGTTATTATTATTATCACACTGATTGTCCTAATAGGCACACTTTAATTAAAAGGTCAACATTTTAAGCAGCAGAGTCCGACACCAGAGGTTTGACTGACATAAAACTTGCTGTACAAATTGCTGCGATAATGACAAACCTTTGAGAAATGATATCTCCGGTCCCCGATTCTTCCAAGCAGTGAGTGCATCATTTGTAGGGAACAAAATGTAACTGTTTCCTGTAGTTTTATTGCAGTAGCTGGTCTGGACTTTCAATAATATCCAAAGATCTTCATCCTTAAAGGGATACTTTACTGATTTACAACCAGCTCTGTATGGACCGTTTCATTGCTATTCTGTTACTAGGGCAACAACTTTGGTCCCTGTTTACTTCCTGTCAGCTTCTGCATTAACATACATTCAAACAGGAAATACAAAGGGTCCCATTTAGAATGTTTATGTTGTCCGGTTTGAAACGGTCTATAATAACAGTCTGGGCAGTATGTGTAAATGAACTATGGTAAACTTCCCTCTTTTTCCCGCTGGCAGATTTTCACTGGCTCTTGGGCTGTTGCTCAAACTATAGATTGTACTTCTGCAATGTCACGGACACAAAAAATATATTAGAGGATCAAAGCGATCAAACTCAGGCCAAACTCAATCACACTGTAAAACCAAGCAGTGCTGATGAAATATAAACCAAGATTCTGTTACTGCATTGCCTATATCTCACGTAAATTGCCTTCAAAGACACATTTTAGTGGGCTGTAATATGAGAATTTGTGAACAGGAAATGGGCGCCGTACTGTTTCCTGTACTGTAAAACAGAGGGCGCGTTCCGAATCGCATACTTTTTCTTTTTACTTTCAAGTAGGTACTGCAGCTACCCTAAAAAGTACATACTGTTGCATGCAGTATGCACAAAATTGGGACATACTACTTCCTCATAACACTACACCCTAAACCTTGACCCTTTTACTCATATCTGTGACCATGGAGATGAAACAAAACACATTCACCAAGCTCACCAGAGATGGAGTTACTTAGACAACTCTGATAACTGCATACATTGTAGATTCTACCATATTATATTAACAATAGTAAAATTACATAAGCTATACATTTCTCTGACATTGTAATTTAACACTTATACCCTATTGTTGCTGGTTATATTTATGATTATTTTGTTCAATTAAAGAATTAATATTCCTATTATTACTAATCGACTGGTCATCAGTCACCTGAATGCACTGTCATCCATCAGCCAGAAAAGCATGCTGGCTTGCATACTGCAAAATCTAACTGGATACAGTAGAACTTCCTGGTATATTTGGCATACTGCATTTGACATAGCCTACTTTGTATTGGGACATTCTAAATCTTTTTCTGGCATACTATATAGTATGGATTGGAATGCACAGTGAAAATACTGAGAGCAAACAGTAAAACTAAGCAGTGCTGATTAAATATGAACCAAGATTCTGTTATTGTGTCCATGTGTTGTCTATATCTCACCTAAACTGTTTTCAGAAAAATTTTACCTTACTGTTAGACTGTCAGTTGAGATCGTTTGTGACCAGCAGGCCACCATATTGTTTACTTTCCTGTGTTAAAATGCCAAGCTCGCATAATGTGACCCACTGGTGGGAACGTGTATGGGTCTGGTGTGGTGCTTTGCATTCTGGTAGTTGTAGGTTTTCTACCTCTTGATCAAAAGCAAATGCCACAGCCCTTTTTCTCTGTTTCCTCTGGTCATACAGCACCAGTGTCAAAAATATTTGTGTCCTCCTATGGTAAAGACAGCCCAGTTTTATGAAAAGACCATCTTTCAAGTAGTGAAATGCTTCTTTAAAGTGCTTGAAAAAAATTGGAAATCTGAACATCTATAATTTTATGACACTTTGAGAATTATCTGCTGAGGATGATCATACAATTCAATGAAAATTTCTTTGACTTCTTTTGTCATTTTCTCACTTGTTTTGCCATTTTATCTTATTTACAGCATGTTGTTTGGCAATCTTTACATTTATCTTGACTGGAACGGAAGAACGGAGATACCAGGTAGGGTTAAACCTGTATATGTACTATCATGACAATGAAAGCAAAATGCCAAGAGGATTATACAAGTGATTGGTTATTCTGAATATGCTCCTAGCTTAATGCTGTTAATATATCTTGTGTGCTTTAATGAAGCGGGTTATTTTAATCTTCCTCTCTCAGACAGCAGCAGGAAAAACATTTTTCTGTCCCTGCTGGTCGTCTCCATACTCGGCACACTCAGCTTCCTGGTGTTGAGAAAGGGCCATCATGAAGAAGAGATGCTCTCTGAAGAGGAAGGCCAGTCGTTGCTCTCAGCTCCCATGATGTAAATGAATATCCTTTAGATAATTACACCTTTTTCACTGTAGTCAAAAATCACTTGTGCAAAAGGACAAAGAGGAGACAAAAGTGAAATAGTTGACTGTGTTTTATGCAACATTGTACAAATATACTAGATTAAATGTGATGAAAATAGTTGTTAATTTACCTTTCAAAAAATTAGAGGCTATAAACTTCATTATAAACAAATGTCCAAAAACTATTTTTCTCGAATAACCCACCTTGAATTTTTAAGGGGTTTTCAAAATGACCTACCACTACAGTTCTTTTTAAATCACTCTTGTCCTTCACAAAAATGACTGACCATTTTTCTGCAGATTGTTGCAATTTTGACGTCAAGCCTAATCATTGCACTTTATACAAGAGGGGTGCAATCAGGCAGATTTGAGGTAGCTTGGACGGAGAGTTTCTCTTTGAGAGTGACAGCGTTTAAAGGCCCTAAATTCTTCAAGCACGGCCCCCCAACATTATTTCACTTTTTATGGCTTGGTCAGAGTTTGACTCAAATCATGAAAAATATAGCTGGCTTTAAAGACCACTGAAAGTCACAGGAAAAAGTAGAAGGCCAAAAGAAGCCCAGGTGCATGGTTTGCGTGAAATGTGTTTTAACACTAAGAAAATCAGTTTTGTGAAAAGCGCAATGAGGCTGAAATTACTAGAAATCTTAGTAGTGTGCTAATTTTGGAGAAAGTTTATTCTCTAAGGCTGTTTGTGTCTGTCTTGTGGCAGCAGTCTGTGTTTAAAAGCTGTTTCAAGTATCTCCTAGATGCAGGTGTTTGATCCTTGCTTATTGGCTGAGTTTGAATGTGTGCATGAATCCATCAGCATAACAAAGAAGCCTATAGGGAGCCGTCATTTATTGTGAAAAGCACTTTTTTTGTGCAGTGTGTTGGGATTTTCAGGAATCCTTGTGATGTTTATGCAGCTACAGCGTCTTTGATTTGTAAATGACTTCACCTGTTTGTCACTCAGAGGAAGTTACATTATTATTTATCATTGTTTGTGTGAGCAGTTTACTTCTATTAATTAATGTCAGCGCTGTCAAAGTTAAAATTAATTTATTTTCTGCTGTTTAGGTATAAGCACAGAGCAAACACTGCCATGCAGGATGCCAAGTTGGAGTTCAGTAAGTTTTATTATTTATATATATACATAGTGCATGTAGATATGGATACACAACAAACTTTATGTAATAACAGGACTGCTGGTGTGCCCCTAATCCACACTCATTCTAAGCAGGTAGTATGTATCGTGCTGGAGGAATGACAAATTGAAGTATACTCCAAAAAACAGTACTCATACAAAATCTGATTGATTTTTCACTGTGCTGATGCACACTATTCTCCCATGATGCAATACACAAAGGACACCGAGGAGCTGCTAACAGCTGGACAAAACGTGCATTGTGAGAAACTGTGGGTATTGTGGACTCAGGAGACAACAGCAGAAATATCTTGGACAACTAAAAATATTATTAAAAATATCTGTATGTCTATTTGTGAAGTAGGGTGAGTTTTTATTATTATCTCCTTCTAGTGTAAAATTTAAAGTATGGTTACTGCCTGCTGAAACAATGTACAGTGATGATGAGTATGTAGCGCTTACTGTTACGAATGTCACAAGTTTGGGGAGTATTTTGTGATGAACCAGTGATTGGCCAAAGTAAAATGTTGATCTGATGATGGTGCTGGATGAAAAATTATTTCACTTCATCTCATGTCCATACCAAAATTTGTGTGTACGAAATATTACACCAAGTCCACTCAACAGCTGTAGAGACATTTCACTCAAAACCACAAATCTGAACCTCATGGTGGTGCTAGAGGAAAAGTCAGGAGAGCACCAAAGACTTAAGGATTCATTATCTAGGAAGTATGAACATCCAATAGATGTAAACATACACTCACTGGCCACTTTATCACGTACATCTTGCTAGTACCAGGTTGGACCTCCTTTTGCCTTCAGAACTGCCTTAATTCTTCGTGGCATAGATTCAACAAGGTGCTGGAAACATTCCTCACAGACTTTGGTCCATATTGACATGATAGCATCACACAGTTGCTGCAGATTTGTCCACATCCCAAAGGTGCTCTATTGGATTGAGATCTGGTGCCTGTGGAGGCCACTGGAGTACAGTGAACTTATTGTCATGTTCAAGAAACCAGTTTGAGATGATTTGAGCTGTGTGACATGGTGCGTTATGCTGCTGGAAGTAGCCATCAGAAGATGGGTACACTGTGGTCATAAAGGGATGGACACGGTCAGCAACAATACTCAGGTAGGCTGTGGTGTTTAAACCATGCTCAGTTGGTACTAAGGGGCCCAAACAGTGGCAATTGCTCTAAGACTGCAAGGGAAGCTCAGCTTCCCCTAAAATGTCAAAAAATAAGTGGTCAAATATGTACTGTTGTGTTTACATTTCATTGACTAAATATGCGCTAGAACGCGTTCAACTTTTGTTCAGAATCAGCTACTTATCACAGGTCACTGACGCGACTTTCTTCTCATTCATTCCCGTAGTGTCACAGTGCATTAAACAGTCGAAGCTCAGCGTCCAAAGACTTCAATGGGGAAGCATAGAGTGGGTTGTTCCACTGCAGCAAAACTAGACAGTCATTGGATAAATGCTCGGCTTTGTCCTGCCCATCGGACGCTCAGCGTCTCTGGGGGTCTATGGGGCAGTGGGCTGGCCTCGGCTGGCCTGGACGCTGGGCTTCTGCATGATGATTGGATGATCTGTCTGAGGCTGAATCCCTTTTTGATTGACAGCGAAATGAGCGAATCAGCGATCTTGAAATATAAACCACCACCGGAGCATTTTTCAAGTTTCATTCCATTGTTCTGAGTTGATCTGGATCCTCTTAGAGACTTTTTCTTTGTTAAAAACGACTAGCGACAAATCTAGCATCTTTTTCTGGTGTTATTGGAGACTGTACTCGTGTTTGGAGACTCTGACTTCTGTCGCTCTGCAGTTACTGTCTCCAACGAGCAGCGGGTGCTGCTGTGAGCCCCTCCACCGTCCCAAAGCACTCACAGGCGGTCACACTACCCTCGCGCAGCAGCCCCAGAGGGTAGAATTTACGTCTAAATAAATGGACACATTTTATGATGTAGGCCGAAAATGAGCTTCCCCTCCTTGAAAGACCAGCAGCCGCCACTGGGCCCAAAGTGTGCCAAAAATATCCCCTACACCATTACACCACCACCACCAGCCTGAACAGTTGATACAAGGCAGGATGGATCCATGCTTTCATGTTGTTTACACCAAATTCTGACCCTACCATCTGAATTTCGCAGCAGAAATCCAGACTCATCAGACCAGGCAACATTTTTCCAATCTTCTATTGTCCAGTTTTGGTGAGCCTGTGTGAATTGTAGCCTCAGTTTCCTGTTGTTAGCTGTCAGGAGTGGCACCTGGTGTGGTCTTCTGCTGCTGTAGCCCATCTGTTTCAAGGTTCGATGTGTTGTTGGTTCAGAGATGGTCTTCTGCTTACCTTGGTTGTAACATTACTGTTGCCTTTCTATCATCTTGAACCAATCTTGCCAATCTCCTCTGACCCTTTTCAGACCATCCTCTGTAAACCCTAGAGATGGTTGTGTGTGAAAATCCCAGTAGCTCAGCAGTTTCTGAAATACTCAGACCAGCCCGTCTGGTACCAACAACCATGCCACGATCAAAGTCACTGAAATCACCTTTCTTCCCCATTCTGATGCTCGGTTTGAACTTCAGCAGGTCGTCTTGACCATGTCTACAGGCAACATGCATGTCTGCATGCATTGAGTTGCTGGCAAATGATTGTCTAATTAGCTATTTGGGCTAAGGAGCAGTTGAACACATGTACCTAATAAAGTTCCCGTTGAGTGTATGTCACTGGATAAGTGAAAACTTGAACCTGCAGGTGGCACTAGAAAAAAGTCAGGGAATCATTAAAAGTCGGTAGGATTCCTCTTTGGGGGACCATGAATGTCTGTAGCCTGATACTAGACAGAAATGTCAACTTGTAACAAATTTCTGTGGGGGCAGGGGATTCGATTTTCCCTGACCAATCACAAGAGAACAACTCTTCCACCTGAATAAATGTCCTTTTAAGTTCACACCTATGCATCACCATGCCAACATACATATTTTGCCGGGGTGATAAGAGTGGAGCTGAGCAAAGAAAAACAAACTACAATGTCTGGCGATAATGGGAAGTCAATTTTAGACATCCTCAATAAGAGCGTCTATCTCGCCTATAGCACTCGCCATTGTTGTCAGTACTCATCATTGAGTCTGGCACTGCTTGAAAACAGCTTCATGTGGTGCTGATTGGCTAATTGAGTCCCCCGCATCACTCGTTGGCTGTTTTTCTGGAGTGAGCACATTCAAAGGTCTGGACCCAGGCAAGAATGTCTGTTTAAAAAATATTGTTGAAATTCAGTATTTAGCTGTTAGTGTGGCTAAAAAAGCACATGCCATAGAGGTGATAATGTGTTTACTTTGCTGTGTAAACCTTTCTCATCTGAGAGAATATAAAAATTACAGAAAAAGGCCAGCGTAAGACGTAACAGAAATGTTACCAGGCATTCAGCCGGTGACCTCTAGTCCCCCACACTCCAATGCTCTTAATCTGAAAGTAGCAGGCAGAGTCACAGGCAGTTTCTATGTTCTTCTTCAAGTGAAAATTTCTTTCATGTGGATAAAAATCTCCTAGCATTACAAGTGAGTATGCAGAAACTGCCTGCTCCAGATTTTATCTCTTTTTGTCAACAGGAACCTGTGCTGCACTTGCACCTGCCTTCAGTGCAGCCCTCAAGTTGTTTGGATGATCAGATTGCTCTTTGTCTTGCGTGTATCTTGTGTGCGGGTAGACTTGTGTACACCTGCCTCAAAGGTATCGGGTTTATCGAAGATGAGCACTGATTCATGTCAAGAGAGGGCATCCAGGCATATATAAACAAACCTAGTGGGATTTCTTCCTTTAAAATGTGAATTTCCCTAAACGCCGGGGTGAAATTCTCTCTTGGGCGTTCCTCCACGTGCATTTATATTTAGATGTGGCTTTTTGGCTTGTTGAGACGGAATATTTCCCTATCTTTTATCTGCATTTTATTTAAATTGTCACAGGGTAATGGGGCCTCAATGTCTGCATTTTTATCTGAGCTCAATCCTCATGTAAAAAAGCTATATAAGTGTTAGGAATATATGTATTTATTAGCAATTCAAATCTGTACATTGTGTGTCCTCCTGTTCAGAAACCATCCTGCAACTTGTGAAGACTAAAACTATACTGCTCCTGAGTCCCTGCATGGCGTACAGCGGTAAGTCGAATGGAGAATGCATTAATGCAGGGAGCATCTAAACCTCCAGTGAAGGCTCACAGCTACAGTGTGCCCTCCTTGTTCTGCAGGCCTGGAGCTATCTTTCTACAGCGGAGTGTATGGGACGTGTATCGGAGCAACCGCACAGTTTGGAGAAGCAGCTAAAGGCTTGATTGGGATCTCTGGGATTGTGGTAGGCATTGGAGAAATCGTAGGTGAGTTAACATTCCTCTGTCGGAGCTTGTTCTGGTGGTTTAAAGTCACTGGAGGCCACTGGGTTCATGAATAGGTTCTCTCTCATTAGGTGGAGGTTTGTTTGGATTGTTGTTCAAGAACAATCGCTTCAGACGAACTTCTGTGGTGTTTCTGGGGATGGTTGTCCATTTCGTCGCTATCTATTTGATCTTCCTCAGTATCCCAGACGACGCCCCTGTCGTTTTTAATACCACCACCCAAAGTAAACCATATCTAACTCCAAGGTAGGCAATTTCTCTCAACAATCAGACAATAAGGATGAGTGCGCATGGGGAAGGCCGGTCACAATCCTTCTTTGTTTTAATAAGAACTGTATTTTCTCTCTCAGTGTATCCATTGCCCTGCTGTGCAGCTTCTTGCTCGGACTCGGGGACAGTTGTTTCAACACACAGCTCTACAGCATATTAGGCTGTGTTTATGCTGAACAAAGCACGCCTGCGTTTGCCATCTTCAAATTCATCCAGGTAATCCCGAGTTGCCAATTCTCAGGCATTGTTAGCAGAGCTGAGCAAAGCCGGGTTAAAATGTTGTCTTGTCAAGTATGAAATGAATTCACCTGCAGGCCCATTAAAAAGGAAAAGAACAAGACCCACACGCGCCTCTTAATCTTCCCTTTGTCTTTGCTGCAAAATTGGTCTCTAACAAGAAATAAACCCTAGATATTGTGGTATTTTAAGTTCCAATGAAATTAAATTGCAGTCTTTTGTCTGTTACAGCAGACATATCTGCTCCCTGAGTCACTCGCCCTTTGTTCCTTGAGATAAAAATCAGACACCAAAGGGGAGAAATTTATATATTTGGTTTCATGATGGTGCCCTGTAGTTTTACATTTATTCAACAGACCTGGAACCTTATTTCAATACAGCCAATCAAATCTTGCATAAACCAGAAAGTTCTTTCTTTCAGTAAGATAAAAAACTGTTAACAACACATTTAAAAAACATGTTGACATTATTTTTGACTATAAAAAGTGACTACTAAAACTGGTTTCAGCTGCACTTGAACATGACAGTAATTTAGATACAGTATATAAGAACAAATATTAATTTAACTCAAAGTTAAATTATGAAACTTCCGCAATAACTTGTGAACTTTCTACCTAACAAATGAGGATTTTATCAACTAAACTGTCCTTAGCAGATTTGATGTATTAAAATCTAAAATCTCTTTTCCTCTATCAGTCTGTTTTTGCAGCAGTAGCGTTCTTCTACAGCGGTTACCTCCTGCTGAAGTGGCAGCTCCTGCTGATGGTCATCCTGGGCTTCACTGGAACGCTCTGCTTCTTCGTGGTGGAGAGGATGCAGAACTCCTCTGTGGATGCACAGGATTATTAGAAAGAAGATGTTTCTGTATCAGCGTTGATCATCTTATGGGACAATCCTGTGTATTTTATTTCATGAGGGGTTATTTTGAAATCTATTTTTTTAATAATGCACTGAAAGTCATATGCATTTCGATATCACACTCAAATAATTTGAATTGTTGCCACAAGTTGCCTTAAGAAAACATCTGAATGGAGTAACATGGTTATCAATCAGCCTGGATTGTACCTTGCACTTTTTGTTGCAATAACCTGACACTGCGCAGTATCATAGTTAATCATTAACATAATTTCTACTGCACGCTGCACTGTTAGTCTTACTGTAGGACATTAAAAATAACCACTCACCTTATCTCCCACTTGTTTGCATTGCTTCCAGCTCAGGTTTGTCATTAAAGGCAGCGTCATGTCGTCCGAAAAATATTTCATGTATCTACAACTGTTACTTTTAATGCTGTTGATAGTTTGTCAGAGTGATTGACAGCTTGATAAAAATAGATGAGAGAAAATAATTCAATAGTGTTCCTGTCATGTATCAGAAAGTTAACTAATAAATGCCTGACAATCATTGTTCTTAACTTTGTATATTTTGCATGTTGTCTGTGTTTTTTCACCAATTTGGAGATTTTTGATGAATAAAGTTTTATGCTTTTTGGATATTTAGTCATTTTAGTCTGTTAATAGTGTATTTTGTAATAAATATGCAGGCCAACTCTTGAATTTTATGTCTCTTGAATGAACCAAGTTGCAGACCAGCTTAAATGTTCCTTTCAGAGGGGAAACACCTGGAACTGTTCTTTTCTACATCAGCCTGTGGTTCAGATCTAAGTGGATGGGGGGTTTTACTCACCGTAACACAGCTAATGTACACCCAGTTTATTGTGCCACAAAACAAGATAAATCTACTAGTTTAAATCCTGATTTTCCAGACTTATTTGAAAATCCATGAGGGCATTAATCAAAGGAGGAGCAGGAGGAGAGGTGGAAGAGGAAGGGTTATAGGCCCAGAGGTCCCACATTACTTCACTGGTAATTGAGTATTGATTACATTACAATGAGAGTAAGCAGTTTTGTGTGATCTTAAGTCAATTATGCCACAAACTTGACAACAACAAAGCTCTGATGGGCTAAGTGAAGTATACAGCGTTTACTCACAGAATTAAAAGCCTGGCAGGGTTCATATTATTGGTTTAGGGAGATGGCCTCAAAAGGAAAGTAACGAGGTTTGGACGAGTCTGGTACCTGAACACGAGCACGTCTGATACATAAGCTATTAGTTATTCCGCAGTGTTTCTCAATTAAAAATCATAACAAGCTCTGTCATTGAAGCTGCTGTGATAAGTAAATCTATAATTAAAATGCATGAGAGTACATCTATCACATTTACAAGCACTTAGAGAAAACACGGATACCAATTTCAATCACAGAACAGCTAGTCGTAAAGTTAGACTATTTAAAAGAATACCTCACCTACCCCCCAAATGATCAATTGCATATCAATTACTCACCCCGTGTAACATAAAATTCGAGAAGAAGGTATTTTTCTTGCATGCCTCCATGGTGAACGAAGAATCCAAAAACAGAAAATACTTGATGAACTGAAGTCAGAGGGGACCAAGAAAACTCTAACACTACTAACTCGTGCAGTATAATCTTGCTCAGTACTTCCCAAACACATTCATTTTTTTAAAGCAAAATATTTCGAAGACTTCTGCATAAAAAGACGAGCAGCACAGCTGCACTGTTTTTGTTTAAGTGTTTTAAATATTAAGGTTTTGGCAAAAGTGCATGTGTTTGGGAAGTACTGAGCATATGGCTGCATGAATGAAACTTGGATTATACAGTATGAGTTGGATGAGAGTTTGTCAACAGATGTTTTGCTATAATTTTGCTGTTGTTAAACGTGGCCCCCATTTAATTCAGTTGATTAAGAATAACTGCCTTTTTTTTCTGGATTCTTTGCTCACCACAGAGACATGCAAGAAAAAACAGGTTTGATTCCAAAATTCACTGTAACATGGGGTCAGTATCTGATATACAAATGATCACGTGGGTGGCTAAGTGTTCCTTTAAACCCAATTTATGTTTTACATTTGTAGTAAACTGGATGTTTGCGTTAGCCACATCGTCAGACTGTACTTTCTGTGTTTACACACAAAACTCTGACTATTTTTTGAAAATCCGAAAAAAAAAGTAATTCAATTTCATTTTCTTGGGCTGTTACGTTAGCTTAAAAAACTCCACGGCCTGTTCTCACTCCCGATTCATCAAATAGTACCACTTTGTCAATGGACATTGGCGTCACAAAGGCAGAGAGATGTGGTGGTATGATACTTCCTGGTTGACGCCAGTTTGTGATACCACTGGCAACTACTGTAATGTAAAGAGTGACAAAGTCCATATAAGGCAGGTGGGAGGGGCAGAGGAATGGGTCAAACAAACACTGGACTTTAACCCAGGAGCCCACTGCTCAGTTCCCACTGTGAACTTTAAGCCAAACCATGTTTTTTTTTTTTTTTTCTAGACCTAACTGGGACTGTTGCCTGAGCCTGAGGAAATCAAACTAAAAAGTTTCTCCTACATTGTTAGTTTATTTTGAAAAAGACCATATGCATGTAATGAGCAGAAATTGTATATTTCCTGTGAAAACTGAGGTGTATTTTGAAAAGACACAATAAATGTAACAAGCACAAATTGACACGCAATCCCAGAACGTCCAAAACAGATGCAGAAGGGTACCAAGAAGGGGTGGGGGAGAAAATCGATACAGCATAGTATCGCCATATTTTGTGTGGCAATATTGTCACATAGTTCCAAGTATCATTTTTTTATTATATACATTATTAATATTACAAATACATACTAAACTTTAGGTAGCCTACTAAAATAATATAATCAATTGTTATTTTCTGTCCACTAGATACATTTAGCTGCTGCAAAAAAAGTGAGTGGCTGAAGTGAAATGAACATACTGAAAACTTTATCTTATTAGATAAAACAGATGTTGACAAATTTTTTCCTTTGGGGACATAATTTACAGTTGAAAAAAGATAATAAATCACAACCTACCATAATATATTTAATCACAATGCTCAGCATATCGCAATGTATTTAAAACTGCAATAACATTGTATTGTGACATAAGTATCATGATAATATCGTATCGAATCGTGGATGGTAATTCCCACCACTAGTATCTAGTGCATCATATTTTGACGTGTATGTCCACTCACAAAGCGGCTGTATTTGAGGAGTTAGGACATGAATGTGTTGAAATCTCACACATCTCTTCACATTCTCCTTACAAATATTCCGCCTGGCACAGCCTTGATTTCCCAGAACACCACTTGAGCTGTGAATTTGGTTGAAAAGCAGATCAAATGTGTACATCGGTGCTGATCTAGTTAATTTTGTCACATCCTCACATACTTCATGGTTCTAATTAGGGAGCTTGATTGAACTGGACCTACGGGATACATGACTGGGGCTTGTCAGAGGTCTGAAAAGTGGAATGAAGTGCTGCTGTCTTTGTAGTCAGGTGTTGTGTTTTCGGAGCTCGACAAGAGTTGTACTGTCAGGGTACTTAACCAGTGAGACAGTTTTAATTTCAAAGTCTGTCTGTTCCCAGGGGATTAATTCATTTAATTTATTAATTTTCATGTGTGACCTGCTTGATTGCCTCCGACTGTCAGTTTAACCAGAGAGCCGTGTTTATTACCACATCGTTGTACCTGTAGCTCACTCGGTTATTAAATTTGAAGACTTGCCTCATTTCCATGAATTATGGAAATCACACATCTGAGGATAGTTGTAGGAATAAGGTTGAGAACACAATTAAATATGCCAATTTGAAAAGAGAAACATATCCTATCAAATTAGATGACTAACAACCCTCCGTAATTATATGCAGGATGAAATGAGCACAAACAGTTTTAACTGCTCATTTGTTTTTGTTGGGGTTTTTTTCCCGCCGCCACTAGCTTTCTACACAATAGATGTTGTTGCAATAATCAGCAGCACAATTAAACTAATCATTCGGCAGTGTGTATTCATTGTTCATGGATCAAAGGTTTGTGTGATCAGCAGTTGTCCTAAGATTTATGAGAATTAGCCTTCCGTTAGTTAAAAACTCCAAATTGATTTCCCTCCACAGAAGCAGAACACGAGCTAAACTTAAATTTTGCTCTATAAAAATAACTTTTTATTACAAATCTGCAGTCATGACCACCAGAAGCTGACAGAGAAGCTGAGCTCTAAGGATCGGATATAATGCCAGTGTTGGACGGGGATGAACAGCACGTCTCCAGGCTGTAACACACATTCCAGATACGGAGCCTTGGCAAACTCCGGGAAGCGCTCTGTGTCTGGATTCTCCACCTCCACCTGCATGGAAGGAGTCAGAAATTGGAAATGCTGCATAAATTTGCAGGCTCGGCGTGTGCTATCTCTGAGGACTGTCAATCCTACCTGACTGGTATTGTGAAGGAGTTGTGATTGATGAGGGTACAGCTTGTCTGTGTCCTCTGGGGAATATAGGCGAATGTATTTGCTTCCCACAACCTGATGTATATACAGGGGGGGAGAATCCCATGAGGTAAACATACTGCGATCACGTGAGAGATCTTTGACACTAACTGGATTCATAAAATAGCCTTGTTATCGTCACCTGAGCCAGGAAGTTCTGCTGAGGGTCCTGGTGAAGAGGAGACACTGTACCTCCAGGCCCAAACCACGCGTTTACAGTAATGTCGTCTTCGTCTCCTTCACCAAGGCAGCAATAATCAGGAGGGCGGATGTCTTCCTTCAGCTCTGGTACCTAAGGCAACATCAGACAAACAAAACCATTTCATCCCCCAAACAGTCCTTTGTATTGTAAGTACTCACCCCATGTGAGTTCAGGAAGAAAACTTTTCGTTTTCCTCACAACCAAAAAATCGAGAAGAAATTCCTACAGTGGTCATGTGGTCTGCGGTTACCAACAGCAAAACTATATCAGTTACACATTCTCACATGACTCATGCAGAATAATTCAAGTCTCATGTACTCAGTTGTTCACTCAGTACGTCCCACACACATGCATTGTAGTTAAAACATTGATATTTAAAACACTTCTGCATAAACAGCCTCAGGCAGGCTACGCATCTGTGCCTGAGGCTGTACTGAGCAAACAACTGGACAGACAAGACTTTGATGATACTGCACGAGCTGTGAGAGTTTGTAACCAGATGTTTATTTAGTTTTGCTGTTGTTAATTTTTGTTTTTGTTTTTTGGATTCTTCGTTAACTGCAGAGGCATGCAAGAGTTTTCTTAATGAATGATACCGTCTTGTTTCGAACCGAAACATTTGCCAGCATTTAACATTAAATATACAGTTTTATTTGACTCTGCATTTGCTCATGGTATGTTAAGTACTTTTGGTCTTGCTAAAAAGTGCTTGGCTCCAGAAACAGCAATGTTAGACTGTCTGTCTGTCTGCTGCTTTGGTCCAGACTGAATTATCTTAACTGCTGGATGGATTGTAATGAAATGGGGTACAGACACTCACAGCCCCGTCAGGATAAATAGTAATAACTTTGGTAAAATATTTAACTTTTCATCAAGTGTCATCATCAGGTCCAATTTTTTTTTTTATCTTTGCAATACTTTCATATACTTTTATTTATACAAGATCCATTTATTTGAAATTTTATAACACAGGAACTCAAATGAAACTTCAAAATGTCTGTCATCATATTTTATATTTTACAAAGTGATTCATTAGATTAAATAAGTTAAATCAGCTTTCTTTAATGAATACAAGTAATTTATGGTGCTGTTAGATTGCTGCTTGACCGCCTCATTAATACAGGGAGCGTGCCGCTCTGTGTGCAGAGAGCAGGAGAGCAAACAGCTTTTAACCGCAGTGGCTAAACATCAACAAATATGGATAGAAGCAGAATATTTTGTGAGAAAAAAATGTTGTGAAATTCAGAAATGATTACATCTATCTTTTTATTTTATAACACTCCAGAGTTACATGAGTGGTTAATAATCCTACACAGACACCACTGTCCTCTGATTCTGCAAATAGTATGATATTAGTAAAATCAATATAGATCCAGAGCAGGTTAACTTCAGGGTATCGGATCACAGCATGTCAACACCCCGACCTCTGACCAATCAGATCACTGAAGAAATAAGTATCCATAAATGGAAGTCATGAGTCTCAGGTAAAAAGGAGTAGCCTGTATGTTGTTACAGGTCAGTAGAATCATTTTAATGTTGAAGGGCTCTTTTTCCACTGGTTTTAAAACAGAGCTTCTAACAAACACAGAGATCATTTCCACACTGAACACATGATTTTAGCAGCATTTGAAATTATGCAAAGTGTATTTTAGTCTGCAGTGATAGTGTTGATATTTTACACTCTGATTCCATCACTGCAGCTCAAAATAACATGAGACACCTGCGTGATGAGATCTGGGAAGACAAATCCTTAAAAAAAATAACCCACATGCTGTTAATCTGCTCCTGTAATTATTAATGCTACATTTGGGTGAGATAAACCTCATCAGTTTTTAAAGGCTACTTTTCCACCCTTTACTTGGATAGTAAAAACAGTCTGGCATCACTTTACAGCGTTTTATGTGACATATTCATCGTCATCATCCAACTAAACAGCAAAAGATACTTGGTATTAATGTCACTTACAGCCTACTGATACCGACATGAAATTTAAGTCTCTGCCAACAGTAACTTTTTGGATAGTATTTTCAACATTTCTACCTTTTCCATCAAAAGATTCCAGAGTATCGTTACATCCCACCACTGACATTTTACTATCTCACAGTCGCAGACACTTTCAGTACAGTTTCATATTATAGCACATGATGCAGTTTACTTCATTCATGGTTCTGATGATGTCACTCGCAATTAACAACCTCGTCTCTTTCACATGAACGTGCTCAGGGCTGGATAGGAAAACTCAGAGTTGACTGAACTAGTTGATGACCAGCTTTGTAGTACTGGTTATGTTAGGGTTAGTCAAACGGATAGTGAAAAGATATCCTAGGTAAGCTGAACTGGCTTCTAAGTACAGGCCGCAGGTTTAGGCAGACTGAACAGACATGCAACAACAAACAAACAAAAAAGCTGTGCAGTATTCGATTGTTAATTTAGAATGTGAATTTCAACATTATGAATGAAGGTTTGAGCTTTTGGGTACAGCCTCAGGTTGCACAATGAAAGTTAAGTTGTAGCCCCTTCATGTTACATTCACACAGAACATACAGCATGTGCACATTTGAAAATTATAACAGAATAAAACGACAATAAAATAAAACATTAGATACAGTTATTTATGTATAAATCCTTACATACATATACACTTAAATACTTTGGTTTTTAGTGGTACTAATACCACTACTTATAAACAAATGCAAAACTAATGAGATTCCCATCAGCTTCAGTTTAACTTCGCAGTTCATGCTAATCAGCCATTGTTAGCACGCTAACATTTTAAGATAGTGAGGTAACATGTAGCCAGACATTGCTGTCACACTAAATACTACTACTACTACTAATTATAATATTGACAAGTAAAGGATGTCGCAGACTCCACCATTTAGCTTTCAAATTACTCAGTTCATAGTACGGTGACATTAGATTAAAGTGTTCAAAACTCTCTGCACACAATAATATCCTTTTTGGTCATTATTCTTATTAATAGCAAGAAATTAAATGATCATTTATAACAAAAGATCACATATTGCTATTAAGATGTGTTACTTATCTGAAGGAAAACATCAAATTTGTCTTCTTTTTAGGGTGATACACATGACATTTTAAAGTCAGTTTCTAGACACATAAAATTAACATCTGATTAGCTGATTACAGGTGATTCCTGAAGGATGAGGATGTGGTGTGAAACATCAGAGTTCGGCCTCTCTCTGATCTATCAAACAGCCCAAAATACCCAGCTCCTAGTCTGACAAGGTGACCTTTTCGTAAAGTTCAATCCAGACAATTTATTGACTTACGGTCAGTACGGTAAAATTAGGACTCAGAAGTCAATAGCGTTCGAAGCAATGTGGTGTGAGGATGACAGCTGGAAATAAGCAGTATTCTTCATGGTGCCAAAAATATAAGCTGAATAATCAATTAGAAAACTGACAACATGAATAATTATATCTATAATCATGTAGTCAGAAGAGATGACACCATACCTGATCAAAAAGCTGGTGTTGAGCGAGGTAACCCAAACCTTTCACTCCGTCCTGGGTGAGCAAATTAAAATCAAAATACAGTGTTAGAATCACATGGAGATCTTTATTTGTTCATATTAACAATGCAGTACTCCAGCAAGACTTGATTAGGATGCACTTACTTTATTTATAATGTATCGATCAATGAATTCATTGACCGTGAGCAGCGTCTGCGACCAATCCTCGTCTGTGTACCTGGATCCCACCTCAATGGGAACAGTCCGACAGCCGGCTACAGACCTCAGGTACTCTATGCTTTGCAAGAGGAAGGAGAATGGATGAATTAAACATCGTGGTAATACAACAGCACAAAATCTGGTCATTCAGGATTCTAGCGCTGCTCAAAAACATGTCTTGTGTGCACTTCTGGATGTCCTCCTCCACCGCCAAAGCTGAGAGTCAGACGCCAGGAGCCGTATGTCAGATGTCAGGGTGAATAGTCAGCTGTCAGGAGTCGGCAGCGAGAGGGAGGACAGTGAAGGATAATCTTAAAATGGAGAGGCAGTTCTATCAGACTCTGGTGTCAGACATTAGAGTCAGGAAGCGGGGCTGTTGTGACAGGTAAAGCAACCTAAATTCAGTCTGTGTTCTTCCCACATTTTAGGGCAATTAAGACTGACACTAAACATCATCACACCAGGTAACCAGAGTCCTGCTGGTTTTCTGTCCTCTCAGCAAGATAAGAGCACTCAGCCAGCATCACAAGTGTAAATCAGTCTTGACGGAACATAAATATGGTCGTAGTGTTTAACCATGATGGAGGACTATTGATATAAATGCGATCCCTTATAATGTAGGTTGTTTTCTAAATTAAATCTATAACTTTCTGGCAGACCTTTGGTAGTGTTTGATGAAATGAGTTTAACATAACGATAAAGGGGTTCATAACTTACATGGTGATGTAATCTAGAGACAACAAATCACACTCTTTAATTGAACAAGAGCACACTATAAAACAAAACAAACCTCCAGGGGTGTTGGTTGAGGGCGGGCCAGTGGTCAATGACACCCTCTAAAATCACCGGTTTGAGTGGGAGCAGGTAGTTTGTGTTGAAGCTCTCCAGTGAAGGACACTTAACCCTGGGAACTGCCAACTCTTCTCTGATTGCAGGAACATGTGGGCCCTCAATCTTTATTCTCTGTTAATGATGCCAAAACAACAAGAGTTCGTCAAGTCTTAAAAGTTGAAGTTGGTCAATTTTATAAGAACTTTTTGTCGTATTTGCTGAAACTTTCACTATATTGATAAAAAAAATGTGGCAGATAATTTGTAAAAAAAAAAAAAAAAAAATCCACTGTCTGATCTATAATACACAATCCACACATGAACAAAAACAACCAGTCAGAGCTGAGGAGTCACTGACGCAGCTGTCAGTCATGTCAATCACTGCTCATGACCTGTGAATCAAGTTTCCAATACTGCATATTTCTAGCCTCAAATGCTTTCAGTAGTGATGTTCCTGGCGACTAATTTCCCTACTGATTAAACGAAAATTTTAATCAAGATTAGTCGACTAGTTTAAAACAGCGAAAACACTCAACTCACTCACAAAAAATATTGTGTGCATTAAGAGCCCTTTGAAGCCTTTAATAAAGGTCTTCAACAACCATGTGGGATTTTTTTCAAATAATACAACATCTCAAAAAAGATAAAATGCTGCTGAATTCATTTTCTACACTAAAGTACTGCCAAACTGCGCTGGTTTCTCTCCAGTTTCCCATCGTGCTGCTTCAAAACTCCATTTTACTCGAGCATTACCTGTCTGACGGCTCTGAAGCACCCACTAATAGCAGGCAGCTGCATGACAGTTAAGCGGCCTTGTACGTTAATAAAACACTAATTGGTTTAACCGGCTAATATGTCTAGTACCAACTAGCGAGAGGGCGGACGTTTATCCTTTAACTGTCTAATCGCGCGCATCCCTAGTTTTCAGACACCTATTTTACTGTACTGTTTAGCTGTAACATGAGAAAGTTCATCCAGGCGGTGGGCAGTGGGCCGTGCTTGGTACTTGGTACGCCATCATGGTGGACGGGTCACAGACTTTCTTGTCCTAAATTTGTTTCAACTGACTAGTGACATAAAAATAATAGTTAGCATGTTAGCTGTTAGCCTAGATATAGCCGTAGCGTCAGACCTGTTAAAACGTAAGGGGCATACTTCAAGTGCAAAGTTAGTCCACTAAACAAGCTTTTTTTCCACAAAGACCGCCTCATATCGTTAGGATAAATGTCAGAGAACATATAGAAAACGACATGGAAACGTGTTGTCTTACCTTACCGGTGTGGTGCCATGTTTGTTTACCATCTATCTCTGCTTTCCAAAGCGCGGCCAAAATATTGCAAGAACAAGCAGAGATCTCATACTGTGCCTGAAATCTCGCGACATTTATCCTAACGATATGAGGTGGTCTTTGTGGAAAAAAAGCTTGTTTAGTGGACTAACTTTGCACTTGAAGTATGCCCTTTCACTTACGTTTTAACAGGTCTGATGCTACTATGCGCCCCGGCTGTATCACGGTTAACATGCTAACTATTATTTTCATGCCACTAGTCACTTGAAACAAATTTAGGACGATAGGAGACAGGTTGAAATAAACCGAAATTTCCCTTTAAGAGGCAGTAGCTGTAATAAAGCTATCACATTGTAGCTCTCATTCAATTTTAAAATTAAGAGCTTTAATGGGGAAATAAATGAATCAGTGAATCACTACGGCAGAGCTGACATTACTTGATTAACAAATGAGTCAATCAACAGAAAAGCAAATTATTGAAGTCATTTTGAGAGCTATAATGCCACAAATTATTACGTTGTAGCCTCTCAGTCGTGGGGATGTGTGAGCTTTCAGTCTTAAGTGATAGTAAATTCATTATCATGAGGTTTTGGACAGTCAGTGGAGCACAATAAGCATTATGAAGATGCTGTCATGGGCTTTAGGAAATTATGATGGACAAATTAATTCATTAGCCAAGAAAATATCTGGAAGATTAAGAGTGATGAGAATAGTTGGTTAAAGTTAGTACCAGATAGATGTAGTTAAGTTGTTTGTTTGATTTTTTAAGGCAAAAAAAAAATGCACATGTAATCAAGTAAAATCCTGCTAACTGTACTCTAAACTCTCCGTCTCCATTTTGATGGCATCTAAACAAAACGATCTGACATTTGAGCATCTGTTGCACTTTATCCTCTGTGACATCTGATATAGTGCCACAAAATAAAGGGCGACACAGGATATACTTCCTTAAAACTTCCGAGAGGCTTATTCTGACATGTCACCATCGGTTACTGTTTTTTGCAAACTTTGGAGCATTGACAATTTAGGCTGTGGCTGCACCACATGAAACAGCTCTGCTAAAATTACAGGAAAACTACTTTTCTGAGTGGTTTCCATAAATACGTGAGCATACTTTTGATGACAAAGGCGCACTCGGTAGTCATCTAAATTAAACCAGCAGTACACATCTTATTTTAGGATAATGACTGATGATTTCCTTCCTTTTATTTTTATAAACTGGATAATAAATGTGCTTTAGATTTCAGCAAATGTTAAGCCTTTTGAATTCTACGAAAAAGATGTTAAAAAAAAAATGGCATTAAACTAAAATCGTACCAAAGCATCACATTACTGTCCCCATTTCAAGTCTTGAGACGACATTAGAGATGTACGCAATAACTTAAAAAGTGACAGCCTCACATAGAACACTGTGTTTTCAATACAAAGACCACTGACCTTGACCTCAGTATGTTCACTCTCTTCTTCTTCTTCTTTGATAGATTTCCTGACTTCACCCTGCAGCATCCGAACAATAACCTGAAGTATATCATCCATGATAGCTGCACCCATGAGTAAACCCATGTCACAAGTCCTCACAGCCTGCAGGACCTCATCTGCTGTCGGAACTTCACGACACAGAGCAGCCACTTTAAACAGGCAGCCATATGAATAAACGCGTCTCCATTCTTTGTCCACATGGCGCCATGTTCCCGTGTTGAGTTTCTCCCATGAATAGTCCAAAATGATCTGAGCATTAAGCATTCGGCTGGAGCTCGTAGTGTCCCTGTACAGCTGCTGCCTGGACCGTTTCAGCATTTCCAACACACTTGACTCCACTTTGTCGCTGAACTGCATTGGAAACTGTTCCTCATTATGAGGCAGGACAGCAGAGATCTTTGACCACAGCGTGGCCATTGATGAGGTCTTTATTTATGCTGTGTGGACAGACAGTGAAGGTTAGTTAGGACAGCACTTGTTCAGACTGAATCCATAATGGTGATGCACAGCTGAATTTACATATACAATACACTGTTTGGAGATTACTTAAAAAATTTACTGAAGGCAAAGGTTGTCATTTAATCACTTGCTCTGTGCTCAGCTGGTCATGGCTCCACAATTACCTAAAATGCCCACCATGGTTACACACACACACGGGACACTTGCTTTCTCTGAAGCTGACAGCCTCCTCACTGCAGTAAAACAGATGTATACTCCTAATTTCCAAATTGGCAACCGCAAAACACAGGTGAGGACATCATGAGCCAGAACTGTGAGTGTGACACATGCACAGTGATGACACCCTGTCACATGGTATCTGTAACCGCCAACTCTGGCTCCATGTGACTCCATCCATGTTTGGATGCTCTGTGAAACTGGAGATGATGCCAAAGTGCGAGGCAGCCAACTTTGAGCACCTGATTCATTTGAGCACAGAAACACAGCCTTGTGAACTCTGAGGCAGAACCCAATTAAATGGTTACATTTAACGTGCCACATGCCTGAGGTAATCACTAGTGTCAGGGTGGTTATTATGACCCTGCAGTACCCTCCGACAGGAGTCATACCAGTCAGGTGTTCTGTCACATCAGCTAAAGCATTTAAGCAACCTTTGACGTCATGCACATTTTGCAAAAACAAAACAAGCAGAAACTCCAATTATTGAGGATGTCTGGGGGGAATTATGGTCCAACTGTCAAATATTATGGCAGCTATTAGAGAGGATGGACAGAGTGAACCTTCAGAGAACGTGCACCTCAAATTCAGTAGCAGGAAGACGATAAGGATATTTTTCTTAAAAACCTCAGACTCTAGTGCCATTTTTAGATAACCGTGTACCCGCTCCATCCACTCATGTTCACTCCTCAATCTCACAAAAGCAAAAACAAACAAAAGGAGGATGTGAATCAGTATTGCTGCTCCAAGGCTGAATCATAATAACGTATACTACTAATAGACAGATGAAAACACACAAGTTAAAGTTAAATGAGACCTGAAAATATGAAGATTAGGCTAAATAGGGTCCAGAAGTCTGTGACCTCATTAAAGATCTCCAGTATTTTCACCTAAACCTGGAAATAATCAGAAAATGTGAAGATTTAGAAAAAACATAAGAAGCTTAGACATGTAAAATGAAGAAGAAATATTGAAGATCCTGCAACATTTCTAGGCCAGCAATCAAATTTAAGCAAATTTGTGGCATTGACCAACTTAACTCATTTGTGCAAAAGGTCAGATTTCCTTCAGTTGTATCTCTCCCACTGAAGCATGCGTTTAGATGACACTGGATTTGATTTGATCTAGTTATCTGAGGCTCATTGCACCTGTTATAAATATAACTGTGCCTCAAGTCTCCAGCAGATCATTGCTGACACTGTGATGGTGGGAAACACTGCATCAGAATTAAGTTCAAGTGTGATAAGTCAAATTGTTTTTCCAAGCAAAGTAGGGCTTTCTCGGCATCAAATCATAGCTAGGCTAAAGGTTTCTAATGGAGCAGTGCATGGAACTCTGAAATGCTTTACAAGCACTTCTTGACTGCCAATGGCTCAAGAGGTAAAGCGGGTCATCCACGATCTCCTCCAGTGCGCATGTCCAAGTATCCTTGGGCAAGATACTGAGCCAAATTGCCCTGGGTGGTACCTAGTGTTGTAGTCTCAGCCACCTGTGTATAATGTGTGTGTGTGTGTGTGTGTGTGTGTGTGTGTGTGTGTCTGGATGTGTGAATGGGCGAATGTGACATGTAGTGTTAAAGCGTTTTGAGTAGTCAGAAGACTAGAAAGGAGGTATACTAACACAAGTCCATTCTATTCCCCATGAAGACCACAGAAGATGAAGGAGTCCTGACTAGGGTTGCAATGGTATCTTCATGGTACATGTAACTTTAATTGAAATGCTTTTCATATTTTCTGTCATAATTATATTAACGTTAAAATTCATTGTCATTAAAAACTGATTAAAAATGTAAGAAATAGGTAGTTAAAAAGGTGACTTTGATTTAAAAATGATTTAAAATATACCTTTAAAAATATTGTTCAGTTAAGGTAAAATGTTTTGTTCTTTATGTAAGTTTATTTTGATCTAGAGTAATAGATCAGGGGAATAGAGTTCAGGGGTCACATCTGTTGCATTACAGGCTGAGAGAGCGCTAACCTGGCTACAGAGCACAGAGCCAACATGGTGGCAAAGGAAGTACATACGGCCCCAAAATAATAATATTCACATGGTCCAAGAGGTGCACACGGTAATTGTCATTTTGCACCTTTATTTGGTTTTGTATCTGATTATAATATTTGTGTAAGAAGGGACAATTCAATATATTTTCTGTTGCTGTGCTAACTTTTTGGGACCTGTCTATTATGAAAAAATTCACATGAGAGACTCATGTTGGGCACGTCTAAATGCTGGACATTTGTTGAGAGACTCTAAAAGTAATTAAGAGATTTGTATTAAAAGTTTTTTGTTTTTTTTTGTAGTTTCACAGTGTCTGCGGCTGACTGCAGGATGGAAATGAAACTTAAAAAGACACCTGTATGATGCGTGGCCATCATTTCCTTGGACCGGTGTAGTTACAGTACAATATCATGGTGTTACAGAATTATCAGCAATCAGACTGACCCCTAAAGGAATGAAAATGGAACGGTAATTTTTAGTTGAACAAACATTTTGATGCTATAATTAACACTTTCTTGAAAATGACTCTGTCCAGTTGCATTTTTTTTTCAATATCGTAGATAAGCAAGTGTACACAGTATGATAGCTGTCAATTTTCATACCACGGTACACCTTGAAATCTGTAAGCTGCTGTAACCCTAGTCAGGACTGGCATTGACTTTCCTCCACAGTCACCTGACTTCAACCCCATCTAGCATTTAGGGGGACTCTTGAAGACTGAGAAAGCCAAGACTTGAGAGTGGCTCTTTGAAAGATTGTCAAATCGTGCTTGGATATTATGGGTCAACACACAAACGTGTGGAGTCCCTGCCAGCTCGAATGCATGCTGTCATTAAAGTAAAAGGGAGACATACCACACACTAAACTATTCTAAAATTAATTTTCACACAAATGGCTGACATGATGTTATGATATGTTATGAAAAAAAAAAAAGTTACATTGGCAACAAATGCAAAATAAAAGTATCCTAACTTGTGGTCTCAGACTTTTTCCACATCACTATATTGAGTTTGATTCTGAATCTTTCTGCAAATATGAAAATAATAATAATAATAATAATAATAATAATAATAATGATAAGTGTAACGGTCATTTAACACCATCTATTACTGTATATTTATACAAAACAATCAAATTTCTCTTCACTTTTTCTTTTTCTGACCACTTATTGACACACTCCTGGTAAAGCACAGTCTCAAAAGTATTCGGACGTGACATTAACCACACCTCTAATGTATAACATGAGGAACATGTTAAATATTATATCCAGAGAAAGCAGCTAGAAACGAAGTAAAACATGCTAACGTTAAAAGTAACAGGTGCACGAGCGTTAACGTTTGAACTTAATTCGTATCGTGACGGAAACACTAAGACATTGGGTGTATCTAGGAGACCGAAACACTTTTAAACAGCGCTAGCTAAAGCTAAATTAAATACGCTAAATGCTACATTTACCTGTTAGAAAGACATTAACACCGTTAATCCATAATTATTTTTATAGAAGACTACTCTGGACAGAAGCCGCTTCAACGCCACCAACTTTAGCTGCCTGTGGGACAATAAAAACATACCGGGCGGGAACGCCGGCAGCGGTGAACATTGGTTCCCCCTTACAGTCAAGGTGTCCAAAACAGGAATTAAAAAGTTTTTTAAAATGCTACAAAAATACGTGAGCTCACCGGTATTATAATTTAAGTGATTTAAAAAACTGTGGACGTTTTATTTTCTATATATTTTTGTAGCACTGTATTTGATCTGCATTCACTCAGTACTCCAGTAGAGGGTAGTAACCTCTGCACATGCTCTAAACCTGTAAAATGCAGTGGCAGACATGACTGAACTAACACACACACACACACACACACACACACACACACACACACACACACACACACACACACACACATGCACTAATTTGTTGTCACATGCTGCCTGTATCATTCTATGCACACACCCTACACTCTGCTTGTATGCTGTACATCTGTCCCAAACCTGTCAGCCTTGTAGCTGCACCAACATCTGTCTTTCTTTCTCAGATTATAAACCAACTGTAGTAAAGCTCAGTCAATTAAAATAAAACAGTGCTCCTGTGACAGCACGGCGTGATTTACATACACACGGAGACACGTTAAGTAAATTAGAAATCCGTCTCAACAAGTGAACAACAGACTCCAGTCATTATATGGCAACGACTCTTACATCGTAATAAATGACGGTGCAGTGGTTACACAAACATTTGTTTCCCCCCGTTTTTTCATCGCCCCTGCTACTCAGAATGTTTTATGTAAATACAGATATTCCTAGAAGGCTGATTGATATGTATCTCCTCATGCAGAGCTAAAACAATAATTGGGTTTGTCTTTTTGATGTCACACAGAGATATTTGAGTTTTTTGTATATTCAATTGCTTTTTTTGTGGGTGGGGAGGAGAAACCTGAACAAACATGATAGGAAACCTTCAGCAGGGGCAGGAAAGTCTAGAATCTATAAACACACGGCACTATTATCAAATGTCAAACACTCTATGAAATTCAAATAATCTCAGTGCAAACCGCCGAGCCGTTCCTGTATGTAAAGCAGAGGGAGACAAGAGAGAGACAGCCCGCCTTTCCAGGAATCACAGGGGATTTTAAAATGTTTCATGCATTTCTGTTCATTCTCACTGTGTAAACAGCAGAATTCTCGTGGCTCGATCTATTGTTCACTTACATGGAGGTGGGAAATTACTGTGGAGGCTAAAACTGCTGTGTGCTGCTTTTCCCTCTCTTTAAAGCCTTTGCTTTATGAATAAAGGGACTATAAGAAAAAAGTTAATTACAAGTTGAATGTTTAAGAATAAAGGAAAGGATTGAGAGCAAACAAAACGTCCAGAGAGTTTGATTAGCTGAAGGTTTGATCTGCACAGGAAACTGAATTTAGGATAAATAATTGTAACATCAAAAAACACTAATAACAATCAATTACAATGCAGTTCAGGGCAAAACAACCTGTCTGTGTCAACCCACATCGCAGCTAAAAAAAAAAGTCCCTTTATAAACATATTGTAAGGTAAGGGGACCTGGCCTTAGCTGGTCAAACACATTGTGTTCATTATTGTACGGGATGCTGTGGGAGACAAACATCACACCATGATGTGAAAGCCGTGTTGTGTACCTCTGCTTGTGTGAGCGGTGGGGGTGGTCCCAGCAGGAGAGACTGATGTATTATTCAGATGTGTCTGACTCTGTGGTTGTAAGATGGTGTGGGGCTACACTGAAGGTCAGAGGCCCAGCGATGTTATTCCTCCCTGTGCTGTCAACTCTGACTTCATGTGCAGGCCGTTCTCCCAAATCTCCATCGGCAGGGGTCAGTGACCTTTCCCAGGTTTACGTGGAGGGGGAGGGCGATTGCTCTATCTGATCCTCCCAGGGCCTTGTTAGCTGGTGTCGCTCTGAAGATACAGAAAGATTTCATTTAAAATTGCTGTGTGCTACTTTTTCCCATTTTTTTTAGCTGTAATTTTTATGTGGGAAAAAAAATAGAGTGATGCAGGGAGGACATTTATTTGGAGGCCAACAAGGAAGTTAGCATCGCCCTAGTTTATGCAACAAAAAAGCCTTTGGGATTTTTACATTGGATTTTGGATTATCGCAGAAAATAAACTCTGTGGCGAACAAAAGTTTCTGATACTTATAAGTTTTGTGCAGCAAGATAATCCTTAAATTATTAACAAATTAACACCACTTTTAGGATTTTTGAGGCATAAATGCCATGGCCAAGAAGTAAAACGCTAATGTTAGGCTATAAATCACTTAAACTTTTCTGATGTATTTTATGTTGTAGAACAAAACGTGAAAGTCTCTCAAGCTGTGTTAATCAAAGACCTTATTTCTGACATCTAACCAAAAACCCATTGACTTCAAGATGAGGGAACCAGGAGTGCTAAAATGCTAACTCATTTCTGGATTTTAGGGCTCATTTCTGCACCTCTATTCTAGCCTTGCCAATGACACTATTTTGTAAATCAGAGGATTTTGGTGAGCTAAGAAGTTAAGAGGAGATTTTCTAAACACCTTTGACCAATTTTTGGTTCTCTGTTTTGTTGTTTTGGTGATATTTATTTTCAGGCTTTATATTTTTTTTTAAAATACAATAAGCGCAGCACTATAAAAAGCGAATAAGTGTGCATAGGGTGGGCGAAAGGGGGGTGGATGAGTTAGAGAAAGTCCACTGTTTGTGTCCTGTGTAAAACCACAAGTCAGTTGAGCTATTTTAATTATAACGTAGTATGCTATTATGTGTAGTATACAACACTAGTGACTCACGTGATGGTACATGATGTTAGTAACAACGGACAAACAGACTTATTATAAGCCAAACCATGATGTTTTTTTCTAAACCTAACCATGTGCTTTTGTTACCTAAAACTAAGGAAGTAAACATCAGTAAAGAACATCAGTTTTAATTTTCAAGTTTATTTTGAAAAGAAACTCATTTAATGAGTGGAAACTGTAAGCTACACTTCCTGTGAAATGGAGAGTTTATTTTGAAAAGACACAATGACTGCAACAAGTGTGCACACAGTCCATGAGCGTCCGAAACTAGTGAGGTAGGCCTAGAGCATCATATTTTGATGACCACTGACCAAGCATCAGTACATCTAATGCTCATGAATTAACACATTTGATCAAAACACTTTTAAAGCTCAGTCAAAATAAACAAAACAATGCTCTGGAGTCTTGTTGTCAGTTGTCAGGCAATGAGGAAGTTGGACCTTGCCAAGAAAATACAAACTACTAGAATTAAGTAACAATTACATATTTTCAGAACTGTACTATGGCTTTGCTCATTTTCTTCCTCTCCTTATTTGCTCTGTCTCTGTAGCCTACTGACACTGAGTCCTATAGGTCTGGGTAGTCTCGCCACCAGACAATCAGAGATCTCCGCCTTCTGATAGTCTGGGAAGAAAATGACCGGCAACAAAGCAACGCCTCTTGCATTTTTTTAAAAGGACACGCCCTCCTGCAAATGTGCGCTCCCCCTTTTCTCGTCCGCAAGGCAACAAACACACAGAGAGCTTGAAAATGGATTCCGAGAGATTTAACTCCGTTTTATCAAACGTGTGCTCAGTCCACAAGACAGTGGAAATGAAGGACTTACAGCGACTTTGTTTAAAAGTTTTAACGCAGTCGGACTATGTTTACGAGCACAAGAGTTCAGCAAGCCACCGAAGGACCGCCCTGAGGATTTACTATTGGTTCTGCAACGTAGGGAGTTTTTTTAAACTCTGAAATTGTATCCGCCCATCTAAACACAAAATCAGGGAGAAAGTCATCGGTCTTTAGTTAAGCAAAGCGTCTAAAGACTGACTTGTGAGTCTAAGTCTGGGTGTCCACAGATGGTGACAGTGAGTTAGTCCTCCACTTTTTTTATTCTTGGTGACCTTAGGAGAATTTCAGTGCTGACAGACTTTCGTGCCACAGCATCATGCAAATGTATTGTTCAAGTTTAAACTCTTCAACTTACATTTTTTTTTATCTTTGAAAATAGCCAGGATAGCTGTTTTCCTCTGTTTCCAGACTGGCTGCCTGCTCCAGCTACATATTTGCTGTACAGATATGAGAGTGGTATCAATCGTCTCATGTAACTCATAGAAAGACAGGAACTTAGCACTGAGTAGTCCTTTAATTTAATTTCTCAACAATTTAAAACCCTGATGACTGCATCTTCATCAGTGGCGTTGTTTGTAAATCAATTTATTTTGTAAGCCAATAGGAAATTAAAAACTCTGTGACACAGTCTTCCTCAGCAGATAGAGTTGCCTGAGTTGGTGAGAAGGATTGTGCGATTGATCGAAAGCTCCAGGAAGGCTACTGAATGGAGTTTGTGGTGAGATTGTTTTGTCGACTGCTGTACAAGAATGAACTTTAAATCTCACACTCCAGCCCACTCTGACCTGCTGAGACAATCAGCATTTTTGTTTATTCCTAATTGGGCCGGCTCTTTTCTCCCTGATGTTTTAATACTTAAATCCCCCTGAATCAGTTCCTATGTTAATCTTCACTATAACCACGAGTGCTATGTGTTTGTTTTTGATCAAAAGTGAATTGATTGTGCTCCCTAAAAGTCCTCTCAAAGTAAATTTAATTTACTTTGAAGTGAACAGTTTTAATTTTATGCCTCTACAAATACGAATCTGTCTTGATCAGTTGTTTGGAATCTCGACTGTGCCTGAGTTTGTGCAGCAAACAATTCATTTGGTTTATATTATCATGATTCCCTTTGAACCTCGGACGGTCTCAGCGGTGCTGTAACAGAGCCTCTGAGCAGCAGCTCAGGGTTTGCCAGCAGCCAAACAGGGCAGCAGGGCAGCATGGACCGTGACTGTTAGCAGTGTATTCCCAGGGGCCTGCGAAGCCTGAACCGCCGGGACACCACAGGAGGGATGTAATCACCACCATTACGCTCCAGGTGCTGCTGAAATAAAAGATGGAAACAAGCCTCCGGTGGTGTTGCCATGGATCAGAATCCAATTAAACACTGTTTAGCTCGACACAAACTGCCAGTCGTAGCCTGTTGACTCATGAAATTAAT